CACACACGCTCACATACTAAATGGCACTCAGATCAACCAATGCCCATTTTGTGATTCAGATTTAAATCTATTGCATCTTCTGCAACATTGTCCAGCACTTCAAACTCATAGACTGTCAAACTTCAATAATACTGATCCAATAATTTTATTGACCTTATATTATATTTGGGATGTGTTTTGTAGCGCAAATCTGTAAGCAGCCTCTAGTCACTATTTCAGACATTACGTGATAAAATGTAAGTTTGTGACTAGTTACTATTCACAACACAGTCTCTAGTCGATCGAACAAAGAACGAGTTTTTGAACATTTAAATTAAAACCTCAAACATTTATTACGATTAAATTAGGCACAATTCCGATTTCTTTGCCGTCGCGATTTTAAGGTACCGTTTTAAAGAGACGCTCACCTGATTAAAAAATATATAGGGTTATAGGTACCACAAACGCTTAGTTTAGGAGATATTCGACCCTAAAGTTCAAAATTTCCCAAAATTCGAACATTTCGAGAAGCTATTTCACCACACTTAACACACTTTATTCACTTTTTTTTCTTCTAATTAGTCAACTAAACTATAAATTTTTGAATAAATCTACATTTTACATTTTTAGCAGGTTTTTTACCTAAAAAATCTTTATTTTAAAAAATACATTTTACACTCGTAGTGAACACCAAATTACGAAGGAATGGAGCGCTGCCATGTGATAATAAGACAATTTGCTGGAATTCTTCTTTTTCGCAAAAATTCCTCTATTCACGCATATGGATATTTTCTTTTTTAAATTTATTAAGCAAATAAGTAATATTATATACTTCTTCATCTCTTTTGTTCGTCGAGAGAGGACTTTGCTTCTCAATTGCTGACATTGTTGGTGGTGTTTACGCTGGTTCCAAGATAGACGAAATTATCTACAACTTCAAAGTTATGACTGTCAACAGTGACGTGAGTGCCAAATCGTGAGTGCGACGACTGTTTGTTTGATGACAGGAGATATTTCATCTTGCGCTCGTTCACTGCCATGCCCATTTGTGTTGCTTCCTTGTCCAGTCTGGAGAAAGCAAAACTATCGGCGCGGGTGTTGAGGCAGCAGCTGTACACTCTTATAGAAGATGCTACCTTCTTTATTTAGTTCTGCAGCTCGAACTATTTTCTCCAAAAGCAGGTTGAAGAAGTCGCACGATAAGGAATCGCCTTGTCTGAAAGGAGAGGTCCTTCCCGATTCTGACGGAGCTTTTGGCGTTGCTCAACGTCAGTTTACACAACTGTATAAGTTTTGCAGGGATACCAAATTCAGGCATCACGGCATAAAGGCAGCTCCTTTTCATGCTGTCGAAAGCAGCTTTGAAATCGACGAAGAGGTGGTGTGTGTCGATTCTCCTTTCACGAGTCTTTTCCAAGATTTGGCGCATGGTGAATATCTGGTCGGTTATTGATTTTCCAGGTCTGAAGCCACACCTATAAGGTCCAATCACTTTGTTGAAGGTAGGCTTTAATCTTTCACACAATACGCTCGATAGAACCTTATATGCGAAATTGAGGAGGCTTATCTCACGGTAGTTGACGCAGATTGTGGTGTCTCCTTCTTTGATTGGGCATAGCACACTAAAAATCCAATCGTTGGGCATGCTTTCGTCCGACCATATTTTACAAAGAAGCTTAAGCATGCCCTTATCAGCTCTTCGCCGACGTCTTTGAATAGCTCGGCCGGCAATACATTGGCCCCCTGTTTTGTTCTTCAAACGGGTGATTTCTATTCGAACTTTTTCATAGCCCTGGCGTTGTACTTTCACTGCCATTCAGCAGTATAGAGAAATGTTCCCTCGATAATTTTAGTATGCTCTGGTTATCGGTGACTAGAATAACAACATAGTCAGTCTGGTTGCTGGCGAAAGCCAGGAAGCTTGATGTATTTCCTTGTGCTGGAATGTAGTACCAAATATAATCGACCCCGGCGAAGTCAATCAGCTGCATCCTATTTGGGGATGTTTCGTTGTGGACGCTCAATTTACCAACCGTTGTGCAAAAGATATCTTCTCTGCCCACGCTGGCGTTAAAGTCGCCAAGAACGATTTTGATATCGCGGCTAAGCGGCTTTCATAGGTGCGCTTCAAGCGCTAATAGAAGGCATCTTTGGTCGTATCGTCCTTCTCTTCCGTCGGAGCGTAGACGAAAATCAACGATATGTTGAAGAACTTCGCTCTGATTCGGATTGTGGCTAGATATTTATTCATCGGGGTGAATGATAGTACTCGGCGACGGAGTGTCTCTCCCACCACGAATCGTACACCAAATTTGCGCTCCTTTATATGGCTACTGCAGTAGGACCTACTCGTCCCAATCCTTGCCTCATCCATTGCATTCCTTAGATGACGGTGATGTCTGCCTTCACTCTAACGAGGACATCAACTAGCTGGGAGACGCACCTTCCCAATTAAGGGATCGGACATTCCAGGTGTATGCCCTCAAATCGTAGTCCTTAATTCBTTTCACACGGTCGTCATCAAAAGGTGGGTCGCTCATCTGAGGCTGTTGGAATTTTTTCATGTGGGGGTGATTTTTACCTAGCGGGTCCCAAACCCAGCGCTCAACCCTGAGGAGAGGATGTTTCGCCTTCTCACTTACGCTCGCCTTCAAACGGATGTTCTTACGCTACCCAGAAGATACTTCGTCAAAGACCGAAAGTCGTGAGCTGCTTGAGCCATATCTATCATTAACTCGTTTCTGCCCACTCCCAAGTGATGAGAGAACTTTCCTCACTTGTGTGTACTTCTACATATGATTTCACGACGAAGCTCGTTCTAGGGATGGTAAACTCGATTCCGATTCTACTCGAGAAGTTTACTTCAGAAGTCGAAGTCGATTAAGAATCGATTCTTGACATTCGACTATACTATTAATTAGGTGACTAGTTTCAAGTTACATATACCTCAGTATATACAGTTATATAATATCATGTCGGGATGACTGAACTACTTTAAAAAAATAACCCTTGCCGAGGTGGTCCCTGGTGGACTGAAGTACTTTCGCGTAGTACTCCTTTCTGCGTTAAAAATAAAAAAATATATTGAGTTTTTGTTATAAAGTGGTTAAAGTGGTTATATTTGTTGGTTACCATGCACTCACATTGAACGAAACTTTGAATTTTCGTACTGTACTAATATACTTTAAACTTTATTACGTAATATTATGATATAATATTACTTATACATATGTATATTCAATATTATTATATAATACTACTAATACATGTATATAATATTACTTATTTGCTTAATAAATTTAAAAAAGAAAATATCCATATGCATGAATATAGGAATTTTTTGCGAAAAAGGTCAATTTCAGCGAACTGCCTTATCATCTTGAAGTGAAAAATGTGAATAAAGTGTGTTTAATGTGGTGAAATAGCGTCTTGAAGTGTACGAATTTTGCGAATTTTTGAACTTTAAGGTCGAATACCTCCTAAACTAAGTGTTTGCGGTACCTTTGAAACCCTATATATTTTTCAATCAGGAGGATCTTTCCAACGGTACCTTCAGACCGCGGCGCCAAAGAAATCGGAATTGTGCCTAATGGCACAACAGGTACACATTCCGTTTCCAAGATTTCTACTGCGAATTTTGGTGCAGGATTGCGGAGTATGGTTACTTTCAACCAGTAACGATTGCATGGCCGGTAACCACTTTCCAAATAAAGCCATTGTAACCTTTGTAAACAATTTTCTGCGTGTGTTTGTTGTTGTGTTGTTGCACCAAGAGACAAATTTTGCAATCCGGGGCAGGGTTTTTCAAGAGCAAGAGGATACCCCTACAGTTTTACGTTTGCAAGAATGAGCAATAACAAGTCGCTTTCACGTTTGTTAAAAGCTACCCTTCATCCAGAGTAGTTAAATAAATAACTATCGGCAATGCATCGATATTTTACAATAATCGATGTAAGACTTGCATCTCAGCAGTTGGAAAGTCATAATAAAAGTGTGTGTTTAATGTACCTTTACTTTGTAAATAATGCCCCTAAAAGATGTGATGGTTTTGGAATTTGTTGGTCTTGCACCAGGTCCTTTTTGCGGAAAAATTCTGGCAGACTTTGGCGCTTCTGTGTTGAGAATTGATAAGGTAATTTATAAATACTCTTCTCATTATTTTCAGATTAAAAGGTACTATTTACCTGTAGGGCAAAGAGCGGCTTAAGTTTTTTCGTTCCGTACATACATATATCTATTTGTATATACATATCCATATTACAAATGTCAAAATTCATCTTATATTATATTTGGGATGCGTTTTGTAGCGCAAATCTGTAAGCAGCCTCTAATCACTRTTTCAGACATTACGAGATAAAATGTAAGTTTGTGACTAGTTACTATTTACAACACAGTCTCTAGTCGATCGAACAAAGAACGAGTTTTTGAACATTTAAATTAAAACCTCAAACATTTATTACGATTACACAATTCCGATTTCTTGCCATCGCGATTTCAAGGTGCCGTTTTAAAGTGGGCGCTCTCCTGATTAAAAAATATATCGGCGGTACCGCAAATGCTTAGTTTAGGAGATATTCGACCTTAAAGTTCAAAAATTCCCAAAATTCGAACTTCATTCACTTTTTTTCTTCTAATTAGTCAAATTAAACTATAAATTTTTGAATAAATCTACATTTTACACTTTTAGCAGGTTTTTTGCCTAAGAAATGTTTATTTTAAAAAATACATTTTACACTCGTAGTTAACACCAAATTATGAAGAAATGGAGCGCTGCCATGTGATAATGAGGCAATTTGCTGGAATTCCTCTTTTTCGCAAAAATTCCTCTATTCATGCATATGCATATTTTCTTTTTTAAACTTATTAAGCAAATAAATAATATTATATACTTCTTCATCTGCTTCTTAGTTGGCGTAGACAATTAAGATTATAGCCGAGCCAGACGTTTCTTCTTTTCGCTACGTGGCGCCAATTGGATATTCCAAGCGTAGTCCTTCTAAACCTGGTCCTTCCAACGAAGTGGAGGTCGTTGTCTTTCTCTGCTTCCCCCGGCGGGTACAGCGTCGAATACTTTCAGAGCTGGAGATATTTCATCCATTCGTACAACATGACCTAGCTAGCGTAGCCGCTGTCTTTTAATTTGCCGGACTATGTCAAAGTCGTCGTATATCTCGTACAGCTCTTCGTTCCATTGAATGCGATATTCGCCGTGGCCAACGCGCAAAGGACCATACATCTTTCGCAGAACTTTTCTCTCGAAAACTCGCAACGTCGACTCATCAATTGTCATCGTTCAAGCCTCTGCACCATATATCAGGACGGGAATGATGAGTGATTTACAAAGTTTGGTTTWTGCTCGTCGAGAGAGGACTTTGCTTCTCAATTGCTTACTCAGTCCGAAGTAGTACCTATTGGCAAGAGTTATCCTGCGTTGCTGACATTGTTGGTGGGGTTTACGCTGGTTCCAAGATAGACGAAATTATCTACAACTTCAAAGCTAGATAAGATAAGATAAGATAAAGAATGAGGATTGCACCGCGACCTAGGGTCTATTGTGCCCTCTACTAACTCACAGCGTCTCACTTAGCCCYAGCADATTGATGAATTCCAATATTCTGCTAGGTGCTAATGAGGCGATGTGATCCCTATTTAGAAACATGGATCCAAGGGCCTTAATCCTGCGTCTGCAGATTGCTGGGCAATC